GTAAGTATGTTTGGAAATACATTTTCAGTTTAGGAAAATGGTAACTTCCAAACCATACATACCTCTGCTGACACTAATAGCTACAATCCCACATTGAGAAGGTGGAGGGGCCAGTGAAGACAGAGATCATACAGAAAACGTCTGCAGAGAACAAATATGTACCATGAGAAGTGGTATCAAAGTGGGGAACACAACACTACATCCAGAACAGGTATGCTCTTCATCCAGAACTACAGAAAATTGAAAAGGGTGGAATATAATACAAATATTATGGTCCAGCCCTGACCAAACAGCCGAGATTCTACAACTGTGGTTGGATTTAATGGGTCATGGTACCCATATCCCACTTTGGTGGCCAGGGCAGTTGGACCGCAGATATATATATCTTTGTGATAGGATCCCAACCAGTAACCACAGAATGATGCATTCTAAGCCACCAGATTTATAAAAGAAAGAAAGCAACACCAAAGTGGACAATCCTTCTGATCAACCTGAAGAAGTCCAAAAGGCAACTTCCCAGACCTCGATTGATGGGATCATATGCCATACTCCACCAAAGTTCAGAATCATCCAGTCTGGTTTAACAAATAGTTGTTTTCACTCCCCTACCAAGTGGGCAAGGAGAATTCTGCTTACCCATGGAATTAAGGAGAGGATGTGGAACACTGTCCCACCAAGGACCAAAGATAGGACCGCATCTCATTCGGATTTACGAGGAGATAGTGGACTCCCTACATGAACAACATAAGACCTGACAGTGTTGATAAGATGGCACTCACATCAGCAAGTCAATGACAAAAGAATGTAACAGGCAAGTCAAGGAATTGAATCAGGAATGTAACAGATAAGTCAATGACCAGGGAGTGTAACAGGTACTCAGAGGAACAAATCAATGACTCGGTAATGTAACAGGTACTCAGAGAAGCAAGTCAATGACTCGGTTATGTAACAGGTACTCAGAGAAGCAAGTCAATGACTCGGTAATGTAACAGGTACTCAGAGAAGCAAGTCAATGACTCGGTAATGTAACAGGTACTCAGACAAGCAAGTCAATGACTCTGTAATGTAACAGGTACTCAGACAAGCAAGTCAATGACTCTGTAATGTAACAGGTACTCAGAGAAACAAATCAATGACTCGGTAATGTAACAGGTACTCAGAGAAACAAATCAATGACTCGGTAATGTAACAGGTACTCAGAGGAACAAATCAATGACTGGGTAATGTAACAGGTACTCAGAGAAGCAAGTCAGTGACTTGGTAATGTAACAGGTACTCAGAGGTGCAAATCAATGATTCGGTAATTTAACAAGTACTCAGAGCAGCAAGTTAATGCCATGATTTTTTTTAATTCTCATAAAAATTATAAAGCTAAATGGATTAGCTCAGGAATATCATGATTTTTAAAATTCTCAACCAAGACAAAACAACCTGCAGGACACACTGTGTGTTATTAACAGAAGTGATAGTTTAACAATTTTCCACCTTCTGTATCTCAAACTGTGGTAACCCAAACTATTATATATTTTCAGTGGATGTACTCTACTATACCCTTACTTTACATACCAAATTTCAAGACAATCCATTAAGAAATACACGAGGTATAAAACCTCCAATTTTGATTGAATTTTTTTTTTCTTCTTCGCAACAGTTTGGCTTTCAATTTTGATTTTATTCCTTTAATTTGCACCTAAGGTGTTTTTGATTAGATTATTAATAACAATAACAAAGCTCAATTTTAAATATTGAGAGTGCTTCAGAAGATCTCTAATATTCATAACTGTTACAAAACAAACCTACTTGCACTCATACTCCTTTCCTTCTATGTAAATTATGGTAGTTGTGTAATGGTTGTCCATGCCTGACACCAGAGGGGTTTTTGCCCCTCTCTGACACTGCAAACTACCACATAAGATGTTTCTGTGAGAAAAATAAAATCTTAATTTAGTAGATTTTGCATCATATACATACATCTTATCAAAAGTAGAACATTTATATAAACAAGTAGCTAACAGTTTTTATGCAGTTCAAACAAAGCTTTTGTTTTCAATAACACTTCTGTGAAAGTAATGCCTCAAGGAAACACTTAAGTATTGTTATGGTGTTACCATTGATAAACCCACAGTGAAGACAATTTTAGTCCTAAAAAATAAAGATGTACAGCAGCAATAACGTTTTTGTAACACTTTTTTTTTTACTTATTCCTTTGTAAGCCCATATGAAGTGAGTGAAACAATCATGAGAAACATTTTTCTTGAATATTTTATTACCTGCCTAAGCCAAATAAGTTTATTGCTTTGTCTGATTTAACAACTTAATAGAATTAAAAAGATGTTTGGCTGATGTGGATTCAGTCAACCCAGCATTTTTTGTAATGAATGAAGTCTCTTGCAAAGCAACGTGACAGACAGAAAAAAAAATAATTTTTATATACACACACAAATAATAAACTATCTATGATAACAAAAACACTTTTGTAAAATAACAATTATATATTATTGTATAAATGGTTTTATTTTTACACTATGTAGTTTACCAATGGTATTCAACCAATAAAAATACACTATACACTTATTTACCAATGATATTCAAACCAATAAAAATACACTACACACTTATTAACCAATGATATTCAAACAATAAAAATATTCTACACTATTAAGGTAAGATTATCACTGAAAAACTAAAGTACTTATAATTAATGAGAAAGATTGATATACCCTAAATTCTTTTTAATCAAATAAGTAATAGAAAGTTTTATTTAAATCAAATCTTTTGTTTCAAATAAATATAAGCTGGATTTCACATGCTGAAAAGAAAGTTTCAGTACAAACCAAAAGTGTTTAAAAATTTCATCTACAGGCTTAAAAGAGTAAACTGAAATGATCAGTGTTTGTGGAATTCGGTTTTGCTATGTTTAAAAATGAAGTGAAGCATTTTCCAAAATAAAAAAACTATTGGTAAAAGCTTTTTAAGTCTACTATAAATACTATGAAAACTTGAAAAAACTAAAGTTTAGAAAGAATGACTTACTCTGATGCACATTTCAGGTATTCTCCATTTCCATCAGACCCACAGTTACCATTCATGATTCCTTGGGTATTGAACTGCTGAAAACATTCCAGCTCTGATGTCTCTGCACCTACAACATACAAAGCAATAACTTCATTATTATGCTTGCACATATAATATACATTCTTAAAAGGCATAATTATTATTAAAATGTGTATTCTATTAAACATTATCTCAATTGAGATCTGGTACATTTATTGTAGATTTACTTAAAATACTGCATGATGAATTTAAGTCTTTTCTTTCCATGGTTCTAAATTCTTTAAAACAGACTGATGGAAAAACTTATATGTTAACTAGTTTCTTTCATTGTCAAAGCATTTCATTTACAGTTTCAAAATTGGAATTTGAAATTATGCTTTTTTATTGTAGTGCACTATCTTAATTTTACAATAACTTACCATATCCCCAAATAAACACACACTGTTCTCTGCCAGTTCTACATTTCCCCTGGAAACAATATCCTTGGTTTTGGAGACATTCAATACCATTCTTTTTGAACAAGTCAGGTGGACACTGCATTTCAACATGTTAAAATCAGTCGTCAAACATCATTGCGTGTATTTGCTATATATCATATACTACCACTTGCTTTCAAATGGGTTACTTTCCCTTCATTACTTTTACTTGCTACAAAATATCTTGGCTACTGTTAACCTTACATACCTAAGATGCATTATCTAGATTTACAATACGTTTTCTGCAAGTTTACTGAATAGATCAACTGTTGTTATTAAATGTTTAGTTATAAATAATATTTCACACATTGTAAATTTACATCTTGAGTTAAAGTCCACAATTTGACTGTTGCTTTTTTTTTGTTTTGTTATTTTCAATAACAACTAAAAATAAAATAAAATAAAAACACCAAAATACTATTTCTTGTTAAGCACAAAGCTACACAATGGGCTACCTGTGGTGTGCCCACCACATGTATCAAAATCTGATCTTTAGCATTATAAGCTTTCATGCTTACTGCTGAGTCACTGAAAGGAGGGGTGGGGTGGAGGAGTATAATTAGGTAGAAGAAAAATAACAATTGACAAACAAAAAAAGCTTCTATGAAAAGAACAATAAAAACTACTGGTTTGTTCAAAAAATAAAAACAAATCACAAAAAAGTATCCATATGATGCAAAAAATAATTAAAAAACAAAGATAAAAATGTTTTTATTTACAGAAGGACCTCTCCTTTAAGCTCTGAAGACTTAAGGAGGAAAATCAAAGCAGTCTGAATGGTGCTAACACAAAAATGAACCAACTTAAAGCTGTAAGGACCAACGGCATAATATATAAATTATTTACTTAGCTTGAAAAACAACAACAAAAATTATTCTTCATTCCTTGACTGCAGCTATTTTACACTCTCGCAGAATTTTTGTGAGCCATATGTTGGATACAGCACACTCACATTCAACTGCCAGAGGCAGACAGTACCCTGTACACTGAATCAGCAGTCAATGGGTGAATACTAAACTTTTAAATACTTTTATGCTTAATTAATAAAAGTAATACATCTTTTAAACTACAATTATTTATTATTTACAAAACAATACTTAAATACTTTTTTCAATTACATTATATGAATTCTTCTGAAAATTGTTTTTCTTCTGTTCATCTCTTTGTTCATGTTATTTATCCTGGAAATTCAAACAATGAGGAATTATTTTGTGTTTAAGTTTAACACATCTACAACTCATTCTAATGTGTGTTTTTCTTCTTCTTGTTTTCAACACTTTTAAAACTACATAGATAATTTCCTCATGATTATGAACTTAATTTTTTCTAATATAAATATTTGTTGAAAAAGTTTTCATTTGATGTTTGGATCACTAACACATGGCTTCTCAAAGCTGAAATGTATATAAAATTACATTAAGAATGACAACCGAGACGCATTGATTGGCTAACAGTGATAAAACAACACTTGTTTTGAAGTTACAAGGTTCAAATTAACACTATTTTATTCAAAACTATTTCAACTTTCCTCCTAGAGGGCTACGACTTTCATACTATGCTAAAAAAAATTAACAAATTCACAAACACTGATGTTTTCTTTTGGAGTGTTGAAACCAACCCAAAATCAAAATTTGACAGATTAAAAAATGTTATGTATCAAATTAAAAAAATAAACATTTATTAAATAAATTAACTCTGAAGTATTAAAAAATGTGTGGAAAAATGGCTACAAGTTCATATTCTATATCAATGGTGCAATGTTCCTTCGAGGCAAAATGCATCCATTTAGAAACCATAGAGTTAATGTAAAAACTAATAAATACATATGAATTTTGTAAAAAATATAAATTCATTCCAATTCTAAATGTAGGAAATGAAAAATGTTCATGTTGTACTTAAAGTACAGATGCATATTAGTCTTGTAAAATATATCAAAAATGGAAAGACATTGAATTAAAGATTTTAAAAAAAATAAACTTTTAAAACTCTAAACCATGCATATTAAATTAACTTGGTTTTAAATGTTCTTAGTCTTTTCTTTTTACAGCTATATCAAGTCCATGTACAGAGTGTTACCATTTTTCTGTGTTCAAAAAGTGAGAAAAAAGAAAAAAAAAGAAGAGCAACTTATGGAAATGGCCAACAGGATAAATAACAGTTTAAGATCATTTGTGTTATACTAGTCTTAAATTAACCACAATTGATTTCCTTGAAAACACAACGCAAGGTCCAATAATAAAATTATATATCAATCAAAGATAATGGTAATTTTAAAGTGATGCTGTAATTGTAATTTAGTTATGGTTGATATACAGTGTTACACTTAAATAGCTTCAGTGTCAAGTCACATTGGATAACGGAACTTTTTCATAATTGGGTGGGTATTATGAGTACTAAAAAACAATGACAAATAAATAGTTATACTTAGTTCCAATTATAAGCTTCTTTCAAATAACTGTGTTAGGTGAACTGAAAAAATAAAAGTGAAATTGTTTGCTCCAAAAGTTAATATTGACTTGATTTATAACTTTCTTCACAGGGCCGGTGACACATTCTTATAAATTGAGTTTAAATTTTAACCCTTTTGAGAAGGGTCACAGGTGAAAGGCCACGTCATCTCATTTGTTGACTCGCATTCAAAATTTTATTGAACTACTACTTCATGAATTTATGTCAATAAGTTTGGTATCAAACTGTAGATCATAATTCAAATTTTAGAACTATATTTACTTAATTTGTTCATTTAAAAGTAAATATAAAAAACACAGATAAACTTAGATTTTTGTGTGTCACGTGGTATGTTGAATGCAGCACTGGTTCAAATTAGGTGTTTGTGAAGTCTATAGTTTAATACGAATTAGAAACTCAAATTACAGATATTTACAAGCTAGAATATAAAATAAGAAAGTCTCATCTTTTCTATTTGCTAATATATTGTTCATGTAATAAATCAAACACAGTGGCACCCGCTTACCTCTTTCCATTTTTGGAAATGCTCCCTTATATATACTTACTTCTATATATGACATGAATAACCAATTGGAAGCTCAGAATATCCCCCCCCCCCCTGCCAAGTGGTTTTCTCAGTCTTTCTAACATACCTAATGCCATTTCTTTCTTTTGCACCAAGATTTTAATGAGGTAGGTTGTGTCTTTAGTCTGCTCGAAATTTCATATTTTTTTTAGACTAAAATAAATCTTAGTTACTAAGCTTGATAAATTATAGTGGAATTTCATGGTATCAATGTAGTTATTTATGATTTTTTTAGTTATTCAAGTGTATATATAAAAAACCTAAAAAATTATTTTGTTTCATATCCTCCACTTGTACTTTTATTAAAGGCTTGGCAACCTACATCAAGCAGCAACTAAGTACAAAGGTCGTAACTAGAAGAGATAATTGTTTGCTTTACTTCTTTATTTACTGTTCTATGTTTTAGTAAAAATAACTAAGAACTTATTTCAAAATAGCAATAATCTATATAC